TATTTCAGTTCAAATGCCTGGCCACAGACCTCTCTAGGGAAGAGTTTAGTTTCCTCACATGTATGACTACTGAATGTAACTATTGCCCTTGGGAAAACATTTAATATATTTATTGCTCTCTTTGGTAAAGTATCAAATGAGCACATTTGATACCTCCCTGAGGAAAACTCTCCCAAACTCCACTGTAATTCTGCCAACACTCCCCTCAGAAGAAAAAAAAAAAAGACAAACTTGTGCAGATTAAAAAATGCTGAGTAACACTACAGACGGGGCACGTTACTGACAGACCTGCTGTGAGTTTAGAACAACTCTCCAGAATCAGTAGCTAATAACTTTGTAATGCTTTAAGATGAAAAAATGCAGCAGGGTGATGGTTAAAGAGGGAACAGGACTCTACTCCTCCTGATGTGTATTTTTCAAGAAACACATACTGACTTTTTAAATTGGCACCGACAGTGCTGCTCTTAGAAATGAAATTATTTCTACCTGTACAGGTGTAACTGAAGATCTAATTTCAGGTAATTTGCGAGCAGTTATTATTGAAGATGAATCACAAAAGTAAAAAAAGAGCAAGACTGATACTGCAGTTGTAGGCCCTGTAGAGAGACTTCCAGTACAGCCACAAAAAGTTCCCAGTAAACTGAGAAATGTTCCACCGCTAAAAACATTTCTGGAACAGGATGGATTGTGGAGTAACAGAAATACATGGCCAATACTTTGCACTCTGGCATATTCCCTGTTGATGCTGAGATGCCAAGTAGTGGTGAGGAAGGGCAGGGCTGCAGAAATAGCTCTTTATTTTAAAAAAACAACTGTACTGTTGGGCCAGAATTATGGGTTTATAAAGTACTACATTTACAGAATATCCTCTTCACAAAGGTGGAGTAAGATCTTCTAGTGTGTTTAACCATCAAGGGATTTCCCAGCAAAAGGGAATCTCCAGCTTCCATCTCAGGCACGAACAGCCAGCAGAAACTCCCCTTGGCTACACGGGTCCGGCTGATGCTGCAGGACTATCTGCAAAGAACTACAGTGAGGGGAAAAAAGAAGTTTCCTTCACAGAGGGTAAAGTTTATTGGGATTACTTGCAGAAAGGTGCTAATGCCATATAATAACTCTAATACTGGATGTATGAACATAGAGGAGGTCTTGGTGATGTTGCTTTTGACTAACAGGAGGGATTTTCTTTCTTTGAAAGAACAAGGTTAGAAATCTGATAAAAAATGCCTTCCTTTCCTCAGACTACAAAAGAATGAAAAACTAAGGGGGATTTGTTCTATAAATACCTAAGACTTGTATTGTTGAGTTGATATGTCTTTTTGGAAAAGAAAATCTCCTTAGAAGGGGATTGTTTTTCTTCAACTTCCATACCCCCTGCAATGCTGGTACAGGAAGGGCAGACACAAGCATTCTGACATAAGGAACTTTATACCACAATAAGTCACATTATCTAATACTGGAATGCCATGCCACTGCTAGCTCTGCACCTACATGATATGGAAGCTGTACCCCTTCAGCATACTGGCGTAATCGAAATAGGACAACTTTGTGCATCTTTTGTTAATAGTGATCCACTTCATAAACGACAGATCTAGATAAACCAACCACTTTGTCTCCATTAAGTTTTCTCCATTTCTAATGTATCTTCTATTAACAAACATTGCTGGTGTGTGAGTGTTTCAAGATGTTCAAAGACTGAGAAAAGAGCCCTGTGTAACTTCAGGGAAAAGGGTAAAGAGTTTGGTAATTCAAAACAACTCACTTAGGCAGCAAAGAGCATGGAAGGTCCGTTTCCTACTGAGATGTATTGCAAAAGGCAATAGTAAGACGAAAATGTGAAAAAGAACCACGAATGAGATGTAAAATGAAGGGCGTGGGGGTTATACACACCATGGAAGGGATCCCTCCGCAGTGCAAGGTGAAGCTAACCACACTTGAAACAACGAGGACCAGTACAAGAAAGAGCAAGTCCTTTTATGCAACTGAAAGAGAAATGAGCTCACTGAGTTCAATGAGTTTATCTTACTCCACCACTAGATGTTTGCACTCGTGCACTGTTTTCCCTTTTATTTACATAAGAAAGGTCTACAGTAAGTTACTCCTGGCAACATGCTCACACCACAAATCTTGCCTGAGCATGTGGCAGAAAAAGATTTATTTTCAAAGCATTCAAGTCATCAGATTCTTATGAAATCCACTCCTTTTCTCTTGAAGGAAATTACATTGGCTCGGACCTAACATGTATTATTCAGTTAAGTCAACCTCGGAAATAACCATGATTTAGACTATATCCTTTCATAGTAGGATCTTCAGGAAGAGAGGATAGCTGACTTAGGGAAGAGTAAGAGAATGGACAGAGAGATGAGAGTTTGTTCTCTGAGCAAAAGAGAGATTTAGAATTATGATTATGTTTTTACATAAGCTAATAATAAACTAGTTCTCCAGGGACAACATTTGTGATTAATTTTTTTCCCTCAGAGGGAAGCAAGTCAAAGTTATGCACCAAAATAACTGTCAGTCTGAAGGCCTCTCAAAATATTTTCTTTTCTATACTGTTTTTTCTACTAGTTTGTAACAGGATTTATGAAATGAGCGGTCATTCTGAACCAAAAAAACCAGATCTTTTTCATTCAGTAAATATCCATTATAGAAAATTTTGATAGTTCTAAAATTTTTTTCCCTCAACTAATTTTTAAGATAGAAATCTGCTGCAATCTTTCCCACAAGTAGCTGTGACTCTTACATTTATTCAGCAAAAAGCAGTTACTGAAAGAGAGCTCCAAAACCAACTTTACTTTGAAATAAAGCTGAAGGCCATTGGTGCAAGCTCCATCTCTGTAACTAATTAAGCAAGATCCCAAACTTTTAATTCTTACAGACAGTAGGGCTGCTATACTCTTTCCATCTATGATGGGCAAAGTCATGGCTGAGAGAGAATGGTGTTAGTGTATGTGCTAAGACTTGAATGGAGCATGCCATATTTCAGCTCTTCCTAATAAGGCCTAATTGCAGGAAATTAATAGGAAACTAAAAATATACACCCATTCTTCTGCTGGGTGTTGCCTTCTATTGTTCCCCACAGATCGCCTTTGGAATGGACTTTTATGAGCTATCATGGAGCAAGGATTCTCCTGCAGCTGCAGGACTGGATTCTCCCTCCGCAACAAAAGGTTCTAACAAAACCAAAACCTAGCACTCTGTTCCACTGATTATTCCTATATTTTTCATTAAAGCGGTCACTGGATAACATACAGAGTTATTTTTCTATGGTTCAGATGTTAGGAAGAAGGGGGGGAGACATGAATTTGGATGCCACCAGACAGCAGGAAAGTGTACATCAGTCTCCTATATCATGAATAAGTGTTTGAAGAACAAGACCATTGCATGCAATCAGAGTATTAGGCCTTTTAAAGCATAGCTTGGGAAAGAAAGTTATCAATTTTGCCTTCTGGTCTCTGGACTCCAAACTGGTGGAGGTGATTCTCAGCAGCTCTGAGAAAAGGTTCAGCAGTTTTGGCTGCTTGGTACTGAATGTGCTGACCTGACAGCTCCTTGGTCACAGTGCTGTCTCGTTTTCTTTCTGGGGATCCAAACTCTTCCCAGACACTGCTCAGTGAGTTGCAGACTAGCTTTCCAAATTCCTTTCCGAAGCCAAACACTTTAAGAGCACACCGTCCAGAGCTCTGGACTCTCCATCCCCAGGAACTTTCTTTGGGTCTAACTCTAATGACTTTCAACTGCAGCTCACAGGAGGGCATAGCCGAAAGATGAATCACAGCAAAACACCTGAAGATATTTTCAAACACCTTTCCGAATCTTACACCACATGCTTGTTGCCATCCCACACTGGCAGAACAGTGTATCGCTTGGAAATCTTTCTAGCTGAGGTGTATTTAAATTTTTGAAAGCTTGCGGGTACCGAAGATGCTGATCATTCTTCAGGAAGGTTTTGGCAGACTCGAGAAAGAGCTGATCGCAGAGTGGCAGAGTCTCCACCACTGTTGCCCGCAGCAGTGCCTAGGCCGGGCTCTGCCGGTGCAAATGCCTCCAGAAGTCCTGGCAGTTTGGAGCCCTCGTGTTGTTTAACATCCACATGTGCCCATCTAGCAAGGCCTCAGGCTTTTGGATCACGGGCCTTGTACCCAGTGCAGCTGAGCGTCAGGAACGCACAATGCCAGGCCTCTCCCCCGCGCTTGTGAAATGTTGTGATGAGCTGGTTGGGGTGTTTTGATTTTTTTTTTTTTTTGGTAGCTGTGAGAAGCTAAATAAACTTAAGCATGTGGAGGCAATTACACAGTGTAAACGCCAGCTATCCCTGTTTCTGTTTAGAAACTGTCAATCAGCCTTTTCAGAAAAATATTTATTTTTGCTTAAAAAGTCCCTCCGCAATGATTTGAACTTGAAGGCCTCTTCCACCTCCGTTTCCAGAAAGGCAGCTGGTCTGGCTGGCGAGGGCTGGGGACAGCTCCGAGCCCTTGGCCCCAGGCTGGGCACGGCGCGGCCCCGGGGGG